AGAAGAAAGAAATGACCAGGAAAATGTTACAAATAGAGGTTTGCAAATGAGGGGTTCTCATTTCCAAGGTTTGAGTATTATTCTCAGCTGTATTGATGGTGATAATGTTTGTGCCTTTGTGGTGTTGATTCGGTTAAACCTATGGGCTTGTTGGGGAAGCAGCTGATGAAGAATAGGAAGGAGTCTTAGACCTGGATTATTTAACGATTTTGCATTAGTACCGTGAAAATGATGGTTGAATTACCCGATTTTTTTCTTGAGTAATTTTGGCCAAAACGAAAAACAAATTGATAATTTAATGGTTTTGAATATCCTTATTCTCATGAAGGATGAGCAGTTGGAGAGGTGATTATTGGGTACTTTTCCTGTATATGTTCTCTTCATGGCACCATGTCTTCCTTTGAGTCCTAAAGAATTAATATCGAGTTTTTAAATACATGATTGTTGATCTAGGATTTCTGATTGTTTAATTAGTAGGATTGCCACTTCTAACGGCTAATTAGGTCATGTAGAAACAAACATTACTAGTTAGCTTTTTGAAGATGAAAGAGTTCAAAATAACCGTAAGAAAAATAATAGGAATATAAGGCAAAATTTTAGTAAAATAGAAAATGTACAGCTGAGAGAATACAAAGAAAGCTCCCACATTGGACGCTTTCCCCTTCGTTTTGTGGTCTCTGCCTAAGAAATTCAGATTCGGTGGTCATATTTTCATCCACTGTTATTTTGCCACTCGGGCTTGGAACTATGTGGCTTCGCTTTTGGATTTTTCCTTCTATCTTCCCAAACATATAGATGACTTCATAGCGGAAGGATTTTGTGGGGTGGCGCTCAAAGGCAAAGCTGCTGTCCTATGGCACTGTGCAGCGTGGGCTCTTCTTTGGCATCCTTGGAAAGAGAGAAATAGTAGACTTTTTGAGGACAAATCAGTCCCTTTAGATTCTTTTTCTGTGAATACAAAGCATACAGCTTCTTGGTGGGCAAAAATCCACAAGAAGGTTTTTGGAAACTACAGTCTATTTTTGATTTCATAGGATTGGAAGAATGCGATTGTTTAGTTCTCTTTGGGGAGGGTTCTCTCTACCCTTCGCCTTTAGGTTGTTCTCGCCTTTTTGGGCTCTTTTGATTTGAATGCATTCCCTTTGTTTCTATCAAATTAGAAATAAATGGTATATTAGATCCAGGGATCCCAATTCAAAAAATACTATGGACAAATTAGTAGAGGTTTGATTATCTTTGCCATCTCACTCACTCCCCCTGCCATCCTAACTCTTATGATCAACAAGACCTCCAATGTCCCTAATGAGGTGAGTGTTGGAAAATACTCAGCAGGAACAATAATTCATAAAAAAAATGCAAGCATAAACTACTAATCTAATCATTTTAGATGCCAACGCCAATTATCTATTAGTGCCCTTTGTGTCCTAGTTAACCCATCCCAAAGAATCTGGACCCGCATGATATAGCATGCATACAATTGAACACATGATATAAAGGCTATGGGAAAAGCTATCCACATTGAAATTATGTGCACCCCGACCTAGGAAAAGATATGAATTTTGCTCTTACTTGAACATGAG